TGCAGCCCGTCCAGCTCGCCGACGCTGTACAGCATGCGCCCGATGAAGGCATACAGCCAGCGGCAAGCCTCCTCCGGGAGCCGCTGAGCCTCCAAAATCTGCTGCAGGTTCGGGGTCGGCAGCTGGTACCAGTCCAGGTCGCCATCCACGACGCGAAGCCGCGCAGCTTCGTCGAACGGGAGGTCAAAGTACTTGCTCGCGCACACCTCCGGCTTCAGGAGCTGGTCGACCCTGCCTCCCGCATACGGTATGAACAGGTCCCTCACGTCCTCGCCCACCAGCAGGCCGCTGCCCGGCTTCAGGATGGAGTCCCTCAGCCAGGCAACGTACACCCCGTTCTTGAAGGCGAACACGTGGCGGTCCTTGTGGATGACAGGGAAGCGCGGGTCGTTCCTGTTTGCAGCGATGTGGGCGGGGATGTCCGTCTGGAAGCTCCCGTTGGAGGTTAAGAGGCTGTACAGGCGCTCATCGGCATACACGTTGCAGGTGTCGAAGAGGGCCTGCTGGATGGTCGTCTCCACCTTGAAGGCGCGCGTGTTGTAGCCGTCGCTCTTGATCGCCGAGTAGCAGAGATCTTCGCAGCCCTTGACCTCCAGAGCGCGCAGGCCGTACCGCGCCGCCCTGTCATACCACGCGCTGATGAGCTCTGTCCTCGCGCAATCAGCCTCCTTTGGCTGGGTGGTTGGCGCCTCCGGGCCAGGCGGCGCAAACTGCAGCAGCCCGGCCTTGCCACGGCTGATTGCCGACCTCACCGCCTCCAGCCGCCTGACGACGTTGTCATGGTCTGTGGGTGGGAGATGTCCGTCCTTGAAGGCTCCGTTCAGGCCCTGTGCGATGCTCGCAAACTCTGCCCAACACCGGCGCGAGGCTGCCTCGATGCGGGTGGCGTCAAAGTCGGTCTCCGCATCAAAGTAGCTGCACATGCTCGAGAGGGCAGCAGCCGGAGACACGGGCCTGCCGACGTTCCATTTCCTCTCGAGTGCCTCCAGAGCTTCCAGCAGAGAGGCCGAGCCCTGCGCTGGGCCATGTGATTGGCTGTGCACCAGGCTGCGCTCCGGGCTGCGCTCCCCGCTGCTCTCTGGGCCCCCAGGGCTGGAGGGAAACGTCCGGGGTGGGGTGCCGTAGACATCTTCTGCGTCCTCCGCAAAAAGCCGTCTCCTCACACCAACCCGATCCGACTCAGAGTCAGACTCCTGAAGACCGAAAGAAAGTGTCAGAGATCCTCTGGAATGTCCGCTGCAGCAAGCCTTCCTTCAGGTCCACCACAACAAGAGACGCATGCGGTGGGTCTATCCAAAGAGGCACTCCAGAGAGCGCCATGCTGAAAAGGCAGGCAGAGTGACATGCTGGCGTCATAGCTAATGAAAGACAACCAAAACTTTGCTCACAATGATGCGCCTGCCCCGCTTCCTGCGAAGCAGCGCTGGTAGCATGGGCCCATCGTCGTCCTCCTCCACCGAGCGCTCCCTGTCAAAGGCAGCGTACATGGCCATCCCATCTTCTGGCGTCCCTTCACCCTCCGAAATGAAGCCATCCAAGGAGCCCGGGGTGTCGCTGCCGTCATCAGACCTGGGCCCGTACAGCTCTCCCTCAATGTCCTCGCCATTGCGCTCTTCCAGCTGCTCGTTTTGAATCTCAGCCTGGTCAAAGAGATGCGCCTCTGAGTCCTCCATGGTGCAAGGGAAGAACTTTCAAATGCCAAGGAAGGCTGATAAGCATCCCTCTTATACCTGCCAATTGAGTGCTGGCAACCCCTGGCACGGCATGACATGCTTGGCGTGGCTTGCTGGCAACAATTGGCAGCAGGCGGGACAACCTGGCATGTAGCCTTGAGTTACAGCCGCTTGCGCAAAGCTTCATTCTTCCAGAAGCTCGTCTGCATGTTGCCATGGACACCGTCAAGAGATGGGCGTACAAGAAGGGGTTCATGCTGAAAAAGGGCTCAACTGGAGAGACGCACCTTCTGTTCAACAAGGGTCGCCTGCAGATCCTCAGGGACGCAGAAGCAGCCTTCCTGGAGACCTATGCCAAGTGGATTGAGGATGGGCGGGACCTGTTTGTGATTGAGCAGAGGACCTCCCCAACCTTTCGCATGTTTGTGGACTTGGACTATGAGACAAAGAAAGAGGTGTCAAAAGATGAGCTGAAGACCGTCTGCCAGTGTATCCAGCGCACGGTGCTTGAGCAGGTTGGAGAACATGCTGCCAGGTGTGTAGTGAGCTGCGCAGACAAACCAAAGGCCACAAAGGACGGGCTTCTCAAGACCGGAGTGCATCTGGTGTGGCCAGACATCCAAGTTGACTCTGAAAACGCCCTCCGGCTGCGCACCTGGGTCCTGGCAGGCCTGCATGAGACCTTTGGTCAGAATGACTGGCCCAAGATGGTGGACATCTCTGTCTACACCAGGGCCGGCCTGCGCCTCAATGGCTCAATCAAGCGGGCTGAGTGCACATGCAGAGGGCGGGATGATGCTTGCAACAGGTGCCAGGGGAAAGGAGAGGTCTTTGACAGGAGAAAGTATGCCCCGCTGGTGTGCTATGCCGGACCAAGCGAGAGCCCTGAGCTGCTGGAGCTGTGCATGTCATCCATCAGCGCCCGGGTACGACCCTTACTGCACCTGGGTTAACAAAAGATCAGCGGGGAGCCGTTTCTCGGTCAAGCTTTCCCATCTCTTCTTCCTATTGTTCACCTCCAAGCCTTCTTTCTCGCTACAATGTCACTCCAGTCAGGGTAGCCTTCTTCAACTGTGATCAAAAGATGGGGAAGGGTCTCATCAGAGGGGTAAAGCTTGATATCCACGCGCCTCTCTACAAACCTGTAGAATACTCGCGCCTCGTCATATGTGCCCTTGACTCTTCTCTGCAGAGTCGGGAAGTGCTGTAGAAAGTCTTGCACCTCCAACGCAATCCAGTGTCTGCTGATCCGCTCGCCTGACTTTGCTGTGTACTGAAACCCACTGTTGACCAATTTGAGCCACAGCCAGGTTGCATCATAATCCTCTATCCTCATTACAGTGGCCCTGTAAGGGCTGGACAGGTGCTCATACCTAAAGTATCTCTTGGAGCTGACTTTCAGCATGTCTTTCAGGGTGAAATTTTCCCCTTGCCATGTATTAGTGTTCAGGAAGGCCCCTATCACCCCATCCAGGATTTTGAAAAGCTCAAGTCGAGCGAGCCTGTCCTCAACCCCGTGCTTTATGTTGTCTGTTAGCGCATCACGAGTACAGCTGTCCATCTTTGGCTGGCTTCTTGCAAGGGAAATAGAAAAAGCTGAACCAATCGACAGAGTGGAAGATATGTCGTTCGTAGCTTGTTGAGCTGGACAATTGCTTCGAGCTTTCAATAATCCAAGCAAGAGCTGCGGTCCTGAACACACACTTCTTCTGCAGGTGAGGTTGACGTCCATTAGGGTCCCCTTTGGCGAGGAGCGCGAATCAACCCACATACCACAATGCGAAAGCATGCTCGAGCTTGAGCCTGAGCTTCAGGAGAGGTGTCACCAGGGGAAGGGGTCCCGCCTGGAGGCCGACAACACTCTGATGGGGCTGCTGACAAGGGAGCTCGGAGAAGCCTTCCCAAGCTGCTTCAAGGATGGCGAGGAGCTCTCTGACATTGTTCAGATGTCCGGCGACGATGGCAACCCCTACTTCCTGGTTCACACCAATTCCTGCTTCTGCCACAACCTGGGGCGATGCCACAACTCCAACCGCGTGTACTTTTACATTGACTCACAAAGGCTCCTCCAAAAGTGCTTCTGCACGTGCAACACGACCGAGGGCAGGAAGATGGGCTTGTGCTCTCAGTACAGCAGCGCACCTCATCCGGTCAGCACGGAGCTGAGGCGAGCCCTGTATCCCGGCATTGACGACCTACTCATCGACCTGGACAGATTGACACGGAGCTGCAGCCTCGCGTGCAGCACATCTTGCAGAACACAAGCACCCTGGAGTCGCTGGACCAGCTCAAGGCCAGTGACCCATTGGAGTCACTCGCAACCGAGGCTCTGCTGGCGAGCGTGGGCTGGCAGAGGTGTGCAAATTCGTTTTGGTTGGTTATTGCAAGGGCATGAATGCAGAATCACTACCTCCTCTCCTTCATCCTGCATGTTGCACTCGTGCTCGGCTTCCTTGTGGCCTTCCGGAAGCTGGCCCCTCACATCAACAACTCCTTGCAGGCCCGCACCGAAGGCACCAGCCGCGAGGCCATCAAAGCGACGCAGGCGCGCCCACCGTTAGCCCAGCGAGCATGCCATCCGGTTGCATTTGACAAGGCGGCCGATGCCATCCGAAAGTTTGAGCTGTGCGAGAGCAGCTTCTTGGAGGACAAAAGGCACAGGTCAAGGACATATCTGAATGCTGTAGAACAGTCGAGCCGTTGCATGAAGCATCTGTACCGATTGAAACGAGCCATGCCAAACGATATGGCTGCAGAGAACAGGCTGGATTACTTTGTGGACTACATTGAATCTACCATGACAGACAGCCTCCGTGCAATGGCGAGGCAGTCAAAGAGAGGAAAGGCACTCCATCACATGCCTCCCACCTTCCCACTTGCATCAAATGTTCGCCAATGATAAACCTTCTGCCATGGGAAACACAAAGTCTCGCACAGTCACTACCGTACGCCTTGACAACATTGAAAGGGGCTCATCCCAGAGGAAGCGCACTCGCGAAGAGCTCGAGTTTCTGAGGTTGAAGGTCATGCATGCTGAGAGCGAGGCAGAGCGGCTTGCACTTGAACGGGAGATTGAAAAGGTTAAGCGCGAACAGGCAACAAGCACAAAGGCGCAATCGATGATGCAATGAAGATGGGTATAGCCTTGGGCATTGCAATCCTGATGCTCATCCTGGTGTCGTCGCT